CATGCATACTCTCCGAGCACGGATCGCCCATATTGTTGCGCATATGGCACTCTGGGACATGCATGTCACGCACGAGGGTGGAAGTGGGAGGGTACAAAGAAAACCGCAACTTCAGTCGCAGCGGAGCAGCTGTTAAGTTAGCGGGATGGGAGTTGACGACCACCTGAGAACAAATGAGGTGAACTTTGAGCTTGAACGACTCATGCGGGTGACCCGACGTTGACACAATTGGTCGTATCGTCTCAAGAGTTTGGAAAGATATTGCAACGTGTCGCACTTATGGCTGCCCACCGTTTGCGGCGACGCACCTGCTCCAAGGTGCGGTGCTTATGGCAGATGTCGTGCAAGAGGACGGTGTGCTGCGCGGTGTGAGGAGTGATGCTGAGACGCCGGTGGCCTAGGCAGTCGTCGGCGCCCTTGAAGTCCTCTCTGTGCTGGCTGAAAGTTCACTGCGAGAGGCGACGCAGGATGCCTGAGACAGGCGGCATCATGCTCCTCCGGGCCATAGTCAACCCGTGACCGTCGAGTTGCAGGGCCACGCGCGAAGCGCTGTCATCCGTGCCGTTCTTCACCATCTCGACGCCCATGCTCAGCAAAGCCTTCTGCGGCGCCCGCTCGACGCCGCCGAGCCGGCCTCGCTTGGGCGCGCAGCTCAACGAGACCAGCAGGATGCAACCGGGGAGGACGGAGAGGCCCGCGCTGGGCATGCGCTCCTGTTGGTGCATGTGGTACAGGTACACCCTCCGAGAGGCCGCGAGGCGTCGCCACCTGTGGCGCGGCGGATCTGCTCCGCCCAGTCGTTGAAGCGACCGAGCTCCCTGCGGTAGGTGCTCTGGGCCGCCCCGCCAGGCGTGGTTTCCTGAGGAAGTCGGCCAGGCGCGGCAGTCGAGCAAGACGTGGTCTGCTGCCTGCGCCTCGCCGTCCGACACTGTGACCCAGGCTGGTTGGCGGCGGCCGAACCTGAGACGGCTGTTGAAGATATATTTATCAGCGCGTTCAAAATCTCGGGGGCCTCGGCCAAGCTCCATCCCAGCTTCTGTCGAGGCGGCGCTGCGCCGTCTGAGCCTGACAAGCGCCGCCGGAGCCTCATCGCATCTGTCGTGCAATAGGAGCTGAGATTCTCTGGCAGACACCTGTGACAGGCGTTGCACTATTGACGCCCAGTTCGAGCACAAAGCAGACGGAAAAAGTGCCCGCTGCTTTCGTTTTATACTGATATCGCCAGACTCCATCAAGCCCCAGGACGCGTTCTTGACCCTCAAGAACTCGATGCACATGAACCCCTGAACACTTGGCCTCAGGCCCCCGCAGGGCCGCGACATTGGAGAGGACCACGGTCGGTTTCTTGCGTGGGTCTGCATACTGGCACGCGTGGAAGGTGACCTTGAAGGCCTTGGGGAGCCCAATGAGGTAATCGATGGGCCCGAACTCCCACGGGCCCGACGACGCTGGGTTCTCCGGGCTCCGCGCGCCTCGACGCCGACGTGCAGACCTCCGCAGTGCATGGGCCAACTTCCACCGCAACGCACTTTTTAGCGCGTGCTGTAGTTAGGTTCCGCACCCCCCTTCTCGCAACAGGCCGTGCACGGGGCCCCCAAGTGGAAAGACCACGTGAACACCGACGAGTTCCACGAAAATATGAACTTCGCATCTCGCTCGACGCTGCAGCTCCATTGGCGGGCCGACCCGCGAGCCGCGAGACCGAAGGGCCCAAGTGATGTCCGCCTCGCTGGCAAAGAGCTCGAGGGCCGAGGTGTCTTCGGCTGGGGCTGGTGTTCGGAGAGGTCTGTTCCTCCCGAGCCACAGGCGTGCTTGAGATGCTGGAGGGTCGGCGGAGCACGAGTGCTCCTCGTGCTCGTCGGTCATGGATAATGGTCCTCTGAGGCCCCCTGAGACGGCAGCCATGGGCCCTCCTGCGAGGTGCAGTCGCGAGCCGGCACTGGCAACGTTGCGCTTGCTCTTAGCGCGTCGGCTACGCCAGCAGATGCGCGCGGCGATCTGGCACCCCGCCGCGCTCCGAGCCAGGGCATTCAGACCCCGCGGCTTTGCGCGGCCCTTCTCGAATCCACGAATAGACACCACCACCGATGGTGGCGACCCGCTTCCCGTGGTTATGTCTCGTGCGAGTGGCCCTGCGGAGACCGAAGAGCGACGCGCGGCCCTCCTTGAGGTTGATGTGCTCCTTGGGTCACCGCCAGCGGCCCACCTGCAGGTGCCTCCACCTGTCACGGGCAGCCCAACATCGGTCAATAGGCGGAACTGCATAGGGCACCTCGACCTGGTCGCACTGGGGCCGGGGCCGAGGCGCGCGGGGCCGGCGCCCCGCGCGCCGGCTTGACTCAGCTTCTCGGCGGTGCACCTCCACGTCCAGCAGCTGCCCGCGCTGAGTCTGCGGGCCGATGGCACGGGGTCTGGGCCCTCGCGCAGCAACCGCAGCATAGCCACCATCAGGAAGTCGGCATTCTTCACTAGGCTGGGCCGCCCCCGCCGTGAACTCGGCCCCAGGGTCGCACTCGTCGAGGAGGAGCAGCCCCTGCGCGAGCCGCATCTCCTTCTTGATCGAGTCTGTGAGCCGAACACGACGCCCACGCGATCGGGTTACAAAAAATCCCCTGCAAGCAGGACAGCGCAGGCCGCAACGGCCCCATGATATCCATGACCCATCCAGATCTCGAGGACATTGCCGCGCACCCAGCGCCGACGTCTAGAGGCGAGGCACACCCGCCAAACTCGCCTGAGCAGGCGCCGCAGGCAGCAGCGCCCCCCGTCAAGCTCCGCGCCAAGGCTCTCGAAAACCGCGCCCGCCGCGACGTCGACGCGGGCTGCCAAATAGCGGAAGCGCTCGATGGAGTCGATGGCGGTCTGCCGCCCCCCTGCCCACGTCGTGAAGTCATCGGCGTGCGCGCCCGAGACGGCCTCCCCAACTCGCAACCGCGGTGCGTGCGTCCGCTCTCTGACGAGGGACTGGGGCTGGCCAGCGCTCCTGAAGGCCAAGTGCGAGACCGCCCCCTGGCGACGCGCCCGCCCAGCTCATCGTCGCAGACGCTGTCGACGCCCCGGGAGCCGGCCGTGCGAGGCGGATCAATGCCGAGCCAGGGCCCGAGCTCCTCGGCCATCATCTGGTAGAAGCAGTCATCGACGTCGCTGGTTCCACCCTAAAGCTCGGCAAAAGGGCCCGAAGCCGCCGAGGTCGCGGAGCGCCGAGTCCGAGAGGTCGAACTCACAAAAGCACCCGACCGACCCGAGCTGGGTCTTCAGCGGAGACTCGTGACACCTGTCGGCCTGCCTCGTGCCGATGATGAGGCGGATCTAAGCGAGGTCCTTCTTCTCGACGAAGAAGATGCCAATATTCTTGTTTGATCTTCCGACGAAATCCGACGAGGCTGGCGCCGCGCAGCCGCGTGACCAGCTCGACGAGCCCGCCCTGGTCTCGCACGCGGCCGCGGAAAGTCACGAGCAGCCTGTAACTCCAAAATCTGCTCCGCATCACGCTCGACGCGGTGCTAGCAGCGCCTGGTAAAGCCGACCGACTCGGGCGGGGGGGGCGACTTTGCGTTCTTAGCGACGGTGCCCGAGCGGCAGATCTTGAGCTTCTCGACGCCGTGCTCGGCGAGGTTCTCTGGCTCCTGCCAGTGCGGATGGGCCAGGCGGGATGGGCCAGTGTCGGCCAGGCAAGGCGTAGATATTTTCTTTGTCAGCGGACCCCTCCTTGTCGTCTGACAGGGCGCGCAATCGGCTTCGACGCACGTCGCTGCTTGCGGTGGTCGTGAGGCCGGGTTTCGTCGTCATGCTCCATGTTGTCGTAGCCCTCGTAATTTTCCTCGATGGTGTCCGCGACCGCGAGGGTGTCGGAGTAAACGACGGGGCAATTACCGGGTTATTATCGTAGATGGCATCATCGCTGTTGATATTGCTGCTGTTGGTGATGACGTTGCGGGGTGCAGGTGGGCGCAGCGGAATGACGCCTTTCAGTGGTGATGCCAGGGAAGTGTGCTGGTTCTGTAGAATGTCGCGGAGGCGCTCATTGGCCGGTCTCGAGTCCATCGAGAGGAGCATCCTTCAGATAAAAAAGTCGGATGCTGGCAGCATGTGGTAGCTGCTATGGGTTGGAGTTCCACCTGTGGGGCTCTTGGCTCGGTTGTGGTCCGTCCCCTGATCAAGTGCGGTGCTGGCAGTGGTTGGTGCTGCCGCGTTGTTGTCGCGTAGGGCCCGTCCGCGGTCGGATGGGCCGCCTCGTCGTCTGGGCCTGGCAGAATTGGCTGGGCACTTGGATCTGCCAGTGGTGCCGCGTCCTGGCCGTTTGTTGCTCAGGCCGCTCATCTTTTCGATCAGGTGGTTAGCGATGTCCCTCTGGAGCGCTGATGTCGCGAAAGGCGTGGGCATGCCCGTGGGATTGTAGCGCACTCCCAGCTTGATGGAGGTGAGGATGTCCCCACGCTCCATCCATGCGTAGCGCGGGGTTGGCAAGTCTGCGCGGTCGTTGGCCACTGGGCATGAGATGACTATGCAGAGCTGGTGCTTTTGAAGCGCACCAGGCCCCTCTGTTTGTCCGTCGTGCCGAGGCCCCCGAACGCGTGGCCAGATGGGTTGACAGGTGTGTTGGCAGCTGGCCCAATTGTTCTGTTGACGGGCCCGTGCAAGGCCCCGGGGCCCTGGAAAAGGCGAAAAGCTCCCAGGACTTCTTTCCGCCAGGAACCGCCTCCTTCACGGTGATCCCCCCCTCCCCCTCCTCCTCGTGCTCACCGCCTCCACCGACATCTCCCGCCACCGACAGACTCGGAACCAGCCCGCCGCGGCACAGGAGGCCCGTCCGCTGGCGGGGCTCCGCTGCGCACCGCAGGCGCGAGCTGGTGGGGGCCGCGCGCAGGGGGGCACCAGCGCGGGGGCCACCCGGCGTGCCCCCAGCTTCCGCACGCCGCGCGCCACTCGCCCAGGCAAGCGTCACCGACCCCCTCTCGTCCTCCCTCCCGTTCCTCCCTCCCGCCTTCCTTTCCTCTCCATGCCTGGGCCTGAAAGAAGAGCGGCCTGGTCGAAACGGGCCCTGGATCCTGGGCCTTTCCCCGAACCGGCTTCCCCATCCTGAGGGAGCGTCTGACAGTCCTGGGGCCCTGGAAGGGCCGCAGAGCCCCAGGCCCCAGGACCCAGGATGGAGGAGGAGGAGGAGGAGGAGGAGGAGGAGGAGGAGGGAAGGAAGAAGGAAGGAAGGAAGGAAGGAAGGAAGGAAGGAAGGAAGGAAGGAAGGAGGATGACAGACAGGAGGAGGAGGAGGCGGAGGAGGAGGAAGAGGAGGAGGAGGAGGAGGAGGGAGGCGGAGGAGGAGGAGGAGGAGGAGGAAGGAAAAAAGGAAGGAAGGAAGGAAGGAAGGAAGGAAGGAAGGAAGGAAGGAAAGACGATAGGAGGAGGATAGGAGGAGGAGGAGGAGGAGGAGGAGGAGGAGGAGGAGGAGGACAGACAGGAGGAGAAGGAGGAGGAGATGAGGGAGGAGGAAGATGAGGAGGAGGAGGAGGAGGAGGAGGAGGAGGAGGAGGAGGAGGAGGAGGAGGAGGAGGAGGAGGAGGAGGAGGAGGATGGGGCCAGAAAACTTTGAGTCCAAAAACGCAAAAACTAATCTGCGAATGACATCCCTTAGAGGGGTCCTGGAGGTGTTTGCGCGCCGCGCTCGGGCCTCCGTTGAGCCTGCCCTCCGCAAGCCCCGGGGCCGTCAGGAAGCGGCTCGGGACGAAGAGCCAGTCTTGGGGAAAGCCCCCGGGGTTCTGCGGCCCGTTTCCCTCACGGCCCCGTTTCTTCAGGTTGACACATAGGAGGATGCGTCAGACACCGCTGGGCGCAGTTCCTGCCAGTCTGCTCGCATCACCGAGAGCATGGTGCCTCTTCGAGCGACGTGCGTTCAGGGCCGTCTGCCGAAAACGGGGAGCGGGTATTGGGAACGCGGCTGGCTCTTCGCCATCTATCGCGGCTGGCGACACGGCTGGCTGTTCGCCAACTATCGCGGGTGGCTGCTCCTACCCGCAGACAGTCCAGCTAGCCCTAGCAACTCGGAAGGAGCTGGGAAAGAGGACGGGAGGCATGGCGAACGGGCGTCGATCGAGAGATCCATGAGCTTTCGGAGAGGCGCCATAGGAGGAAGTGGTGAGGAGCGGTGCCTGGTGGGACAGCAAGAGAACAGAAGCTGAGAGGGGGGGCGGGGGCAGTGCCTGTAGAAGGCGAGTAGGCTGATAGGGGCACCCCTCCCGATCCTCACCTGTTCTAGCCCGGGGAAACACGCACAAATTGCACAGGCAGTTCCCGAGCACACAGGTCCAAACAAACCTAGACACGCGCGAGGCCAAGCTTGTAAACGCATCTGCTGTTGCTGCTCCTCCTCCTCCTCCTCCTCCGGCTCCCTCTCTTCCTCCCCCCTTCTTCCTTCACCCCTCCTTTCCTCTCCATTCCTGTGCCTGAGGTGGAAACGACCTGGTTGAAACAGGCCATGAGTCCCGGGTCTTTCCCAGGACAGGCCTTCCCATCCTAAGGAAGTGTCTGACAGTCCTGGGGCCAAGGAAGGTGCCCAAGGCCAGAAAAACACCCTCCAAGGACATGAGACCCTCTGCCGGCCAAAACCTACACAGAGTATCTGAGGGTACCGCCCCCAGGATGCACCATATCGTCCAACAAGCACGAAGAACACGAGGGTACTCTCCACGAGCCGATCTCGATCTTATGCCTCTGTCCGACTGTACCGAAGACGGCGACGCGTTTCCAGGGCCCCTCCCTCGCGATACGCGATCCGCCGTTGTCATCGCGCCGTCGCGCGCCCTCGCTCGGCACCCCCTTTGCGCTAGGGCAGCTGCCCTGGCCCCGACTGCGACGTGCGAAGCGCGGCTGGCTTCGCGCTCCTGGGGGTGATCTGGCTTCGTCGGACACGTACAATCGAAACGCTATCATAAGGAACCATAAATGAAGAACGAGCCCCTTCTCCATGAGCTTCGATTTCCAATGGAAAACCTAAGAACACCGAGGACAAAATGTAAACACTGAGCGAACACTGAACCCCTCCCCAACGAAACGGGCTCCTTCTTCAGCGGCCCGAATGAGACCCTCTGTCGGCCAAAGCAAACAGTTCATCCGCGGGTGCCCTCCCCATGATGCACACGAACGCCCAAAAATCACGAAGAAGACTAGGGCACCCTCCCCGAACCGACCTCGATCTTATGCCTCGGTCCAGCTGTGTGGTGAATCGTCCCCCCTCGCGCGTGGGCGACGGGCCGGGTCCTCCACCGTCGGTAGGAAAATCAGCGCCGCAGCTGGGCGCTGACCACTGGGACGAGGGCTTCCGAACCTCCGCCTCGCCTCGAAGGAGCGGCCTTCCAACTTGGGCACGTCTGGCCAAACATTTCGTGTACATTGTGAATCGCCCCAACCCCCCCCTCAGTCCTCCTCCTCACCCCCCGGGGGCGGCCAGACGAACGCGGGCGCAGTTGGCAGCGGCAACGCGCGACGCTCCGCTGCCCCGTGGACAGGGGGGAAAGGCTTGATTTGCAACCCTCGGCCTGTGCGGGTCGAGAAGGTCAGAAGGCGTCAGCCATCCGCCTCATCGATCCTGGCTGGGCCCACAACCAGCCGGGCAAAGATTGACGAAGTGCGTCCTCCGAAAAGCGAGCCTGCTCTGGCGCTTGCGCGCTACGTGCTTCTCCCCCGTTCGGAAAGGCCCTGGGCGATGCGGGCGGTATCTTCGGGCAGGTGGTTTCGCCGCGTGACAATATCTCTGAGCATGTGCTTCTCCACTTCGCGAGAATAAGTAGAACACATGCAGAAGTTTCCTCCTCCTCCTCCTCCTCCGCCCTTTCTCTCGTCCCACGCAGGTTCTCCTGAAACGACAGTGGTTTGCCGGTCGACCTTCCTGTAAGCATGGGGCCCCTCGTGCGACGACACATCTGCATCTCTGCGCATTAGAGCCGAACCTAGCGGCGATGCCCCCGACCCTCGACCGGGGACGGCCGCGTGAGCGAGCGAAAAAAACGCCACGAGCTAGACCTCCGGTGGCAGTGGCACTGCGTGCACCTCCTTCTCCTCCCCCTCCTTTTCCTCTCTCTGCCTTGCTCCCCTTCCTTTCCCTCTGTCCCTCTCCCTCCTTCCCTCTTCTTCCGCAAGGCTTTGCGCCATGGCACGCCCGTCAGATTACACACACCTGCCCGGAAAACAATCAAAGTATGAGTGAGAGGGTTGCCAATGCAGCGTCTAAGGCTAAAATTTCTGCTACAAATGCCGATGTTGCGCCGCTCACCTGGAAACCGGCATGCCCTAACATAGCATACGTCCATGATTCACCGTGGCGTTGCACACAATATAAGACCCAAGCGCATCCAGCGGACCCGTCTCGATACCGAAGGCCGCCGTCGCTATACAGCCGAATGTTGCACCCGCTCCGCAATGCATCTCGCAAGCTGTCGCTGTCGACGTTCTCCCAGCGGCATGCGGTATTCATCGCATAATTTGCTAAATGGTCAGCTTGCACATTGTATTTGCGAGGGCGCCATTCGACCATGTCTGCCCAGGGAGTCCTCGGACGCCAGTCGCGACTGAGTAAGGCTGCCAATGCCCGGGCCATGCGCCGGAAGACAGCTTGATGCTCTTCAGACATCGCGGCAACGGTGCCATTCAGTAGGTTAGCCAATATTTCGCAGTCGACGGCAATGCTCAAGCAGTGGTTGTCGTGGCTCCAGTGCTGGTCTGAGTCATGTGCAACCATCGCGGGTAGATTTCCCAGATTCTCGTGGCCGTGCGCCGTGGCGTCAGCAAGTTGGAGGGGCACCTTCTCAACAACGCCCCGTGCACTGGGCAAGGACCACAATTGGCACATGCAATCTATGAAATGCGCGCACTCGTGTTTCCAGCGGCCTCTATCGAAGTGTGCACGGTGAGATCGCCAGTCAGGGCCGTACGCAGCAACCAGAGCATCTTCCCAAGCAGTGCGGTGACCAGAAGTGGAGTGGACGCACTGCGCCTGACGACGGGCCTTCTCGCCAAAACATTGCGCAAGCTCCCAATCAAGGGCACTTCGGAACTCTCTCGCCCATTTCAGCGGCGTTGCTCCTCCTGGGAATCTACAGTCTAGCTCCCGCCGAGCGTGTAGGAATACCATCCGGAGAACTCGACAATGTATCGGCTGCACGCCGGTGAGACGGAACCACCTGTCAATCTGCATATCACTGCGCATATTGTACGCCCCTGGGCCCTCAGTCGGCGCGGGCCGGAGACGAAGCATCCTCCGCAAGTGCTGTAACTCCCACATTCGCAGCCGGTGCAGAAGACCACTGGTGAGGTGCCACGATTCGCTACCAAATACAGCAGAAGCTTGTGGTGCCGAAGCCCACCCTTCCAATCGTTCTCGAATGCCGCCGCGACCCCGGAGAGCAGGTTTATGCTTATAGTAGGCCGCGTCACCAAGCCCCAGACGATGCCCGACGCTGCAATCGGTAGAGCCGGAGTCGTCGATAAGAACACCCAAGCACTCTAGTTGGACAACTTGCTTGTAGGGGAGGGGGTCGGGCAGACAAGGCGCGGTCAATGAGTAAGAAGACCCGCGGGCCGAACCGGCAGCCAAAGTAAGCAGAGAAGATGGTTTCCAATCCAGCCGGGCCTTCGCAAAAGCCAGAGTTGCCTCGGAGACCATGTGCTGCAGATGGTTCGGGTCGGTGGCAAAGAAGACGATGTTGTCTGCCCAAATCGCATGGTGAATGAGGTTCCCGTCATACCTGGCACCCCATCCCTGCTCGCTCCAGTTGGCCACGACGGGTTCCAATGCGCATTCCACAATCGCGTTCCAGCAGTCCGGAGTCTCCACGCCTCCCTGTTTTCCGCCTCGCTCGTAATTAAAAAACTCTGTATCCCCAGCCCCAGGGATCGCAAATCTCCCTCGTAACCCATGCAACTCCTGCAATAGGAGTCCCACCATGCCGTGCGACGCTCCCATGTGAAGCAGAGATTGCGTCAATACGTCGTGGTCCATGCTGTCGAATGCGAACTTCACGTCCTGGATGCTGACGTATAGGTTGTGACCCCATGAGCTTGCGTTGAAAATCATTTGCTGCATGAGGGCTGTGATGTCACTCGTGCGGAAGCCTCGCTTGAATCCGTATGTGTGTACAGCCGTCGCCCGGATTTGGCCCCTCAGTGATGGGCGCAACGTTAACATGTACCATTTTAACATGTTTGATAATTTTGCAATCCACCGAAACTGTTCGAGATGAGTCACCGCTTTGCTCTTAGGTATCCCTACGAATTCCAAGAGACGCCAATAATCGGACTGCTCGTTGCCGCTGTTGAAAGACGCACGTTTTTGGAACAACTGCCAAATCATCCACGTAAGCTGGATACGTAAGGCTTTCCACACCTCGGCCGGGACACCATCAGGACCAGCGGCCTTGCCCATCTTAAGGGACCCGCGTGCCTGGAAAAAATCCCAGAACTCGATGGTGTTCGACTCCAATGCCTCCGTGGCCCGCTCCTGGTAGAGTGCGATCTGCTGGTGGAGTCGCCGCGCCTGGGCGCCATGAGAATTCTGGTCATCACCGAAACGCTCCTGGCCAAAACGGCGCCCTTCAGCCAACCACTGTGGCCGGTTACCAGAGAGAGATCCTTCCACGATCAATTGCTGAGGTAGGTACGTCTTTGCCATAGGACCAGGTCGTAAGAGCTTCAACTTCCTGTGAACCTTCAGCTTGTGCAAGTGTCGTTTGTGACGTTTCCACGTCGACGCTATCTGTGGGGCTGCATCTCCAACGGAGGTCAAATAGGTCCGCTTGGCTTCATTGGCGATCCGGCTAGCATCTCCAAAATCACGCCGTCGAGTATGTGAGGTGGTGTACGGGATGCTCTTGGCGATCTCGAAAATGCGATCTTCGACATTCTGCAGGGTAGAATGCATCATGACATCTGTAGTGCAAGCCAGTTTGAAGACATGCGCATCAGACTCGGAAGACGGCTGCCATCCATGAAGAATCTCCGCGGGAGCCCGAGGAAACCCCTTGCTCTGGAATTTCTGCTCGGCGAAACGTCGCAATTTCCCCATCGTGTTGTACATGTTCTGGATGTCCGGGTGCCTCTCCAAAGTAGCGTAGGGGCGCTTCCCGTTGATGTCGCCCTTCCCGGTGGCAAAGAATTCCCGCCAAATCCCGTTCACCTCCGCGGCCACGTCCCCGCCGATCGGAATCCTGATGGAGTAGTTGCGGGGGCCACGAAGCCTGAAGGGACCTACATTACCACGAATGGATTCGGGAACCTCTGACTTCAAGTTCTGGTACAAACCATCCGCCTCCACCCGCCCGATACCCTTCTCCCTTCTCTCGTCCCACGTGCACCACCCCTTGAGGTCTATATACGTGGGTGTGAATTCAGCACGACTTGGGGGAGAGGATTTGGCCCGACGATGTTCGGACAGGCTCTTTTCCATCACCTCCAGACGTCTATTGATGGGCTCCAGGGCAGTCGCGATCTTCTTGTCCATCATGGAGTCGAACATCTTCTTGAGCTTCTCGTTCTGCTTCTCGGCGAACCGCTCCAAGAGGGTATCTAAGGAGACACCGCCGTACGAGCCAGCTCCACCTGCAGGAAAAGGAGGAAGTGCAGGTCCTGATGCCCCGGCGGCCGCAGGCGCAGCAGGCATACCGCCCTTCGCCCCGTTGCCCTTGCCGGGAGAGAACTGCACCGCTACGCCTAGAGAGCCCTGCCACTTTTTATTTGCATGCTGCGCTGCTTGATTGCTTGCGCAGTCGACGCATAGTACGTACCCACAGCGCTCCCCAGTGCAAGACAGGTGCATCTTCTGCGGGTCGATGGGGTTGGAGCAATGGGTACATTGCACGATGAGCTGATCAACCGTATTGTGCATAGCATGCGAATCTGGGCACAGAAGAGAAACCGCCATCTTCGGAGGGATAAGATGTAGTTGTGAGTGAAAGGGGAATTACAGACTCAGGCCCTCCCTCCTGCCCCTCTCCCTCCTTGAGCCCAACTCTCTCTCCCTCGCTCTTGCGCTCTCTCCATCTCTCTCTCTCTCTCCCTCTCTCTCGTTCCCTCTCCCTCTCTCTGTCTGTCTCATTCTCTGTTTTGTTTGCGCTTGTTTTTTTTGTTCTCTCTCTCTCTCGCTCTCTCTTTCTTTCTTTCTTTCTCTCTCTCTCTCTCTTTCTCTCTCTGCCCGCCCGATTGCCCGCGCGGCCACGCAGCGTCGGGACCTGAGTGCGGCGGCGAGGGACCCCCTGTCGTTCGCAAGCCGCTCAGCGGTCAAGCTCTTGTCCCCCGGGACGCTCGCTCGCCGCCAACCGGGGCTTCGCCGACCTGGGCCCCTTCCCTCGCGGGGCGCCGAGAGACTTGGCGCATCACCTCCTCCGCACCGGGTCACTTGCCTCAATCGCTTTGCGCTGGGGTGTGATTGTTTCAGCACTCTCCGTACTTGAAGGTGCGCACCACCGCCAAGAATGCGATGGCGGGCCTCGGCTACCGCAGTAGCCAGCAGTCGACGG